AGAAGTCGGTACTTTCAAAAGGTTTAAATTTCGCCATTACGCCTAACAAGATTCCTATCGTGGACATTGTTACTGAAACTGAATCAGCTTTACGCAGAGCTCGTTTACCGCACCTACAAGCTGAAGCCGTACGTACAAAAATAGCCACAACATTGAAGACTTCTAAACTACCAGAGAGTAATATTTCCCGTGAAGAAAAGGAAGCTATCAGAAATCTTTCGAAGAACCCAGACATCCTGATTCTGCCATCTGACAAAGGAAGATGCACAGTAGTGTTGGATCAAGAACAATACAACGAGAAAGTTCATGATTTGTTACAAGATGACAACACGTACTTACCACTAAGGAAGGACCCTACATCTAATTTCAGATCTAAGATAAATGCAGCTCTTAAGAAATTGGAAAGAGACAAGGTGATTGATCGCTCGACGTATCTCAAGTTATACCCAAAAGGACAACAACCGCCAGCCTTCTATGGACTTCCAAAAATACATAAAAATAACATCCCTCTTCGGCCAATTGTTTCCAGCATAGGATCGGTGACTTATCAACTTGCACGGTTCTTAGCCAACATCATTGGTCCGCTGGTTGGTAAATCAGAACATCATGTAAAAAACAGTGAAGACTTTGTCAACAAAATCAAGGATATTTGTGTTGAAAATGATGAGATTATCACATCCTACGATGTATGTTCACTGTTTACCTGCATACCCCCTAAAGGAGCTGTTGAAGTGGTAAGAGAATTCCTTGAAGCTGATGACACCCTGAAAGAGAGATCTAAATTGTCAGTCAACCAGATCTGTCAACTCTTGGAACTTTGCCTTGAATGTACATATTTTACTTATGATGGCAAGTTTTACAAGCAAGTACAAGGTTGCGCTATGGGTTCTCCCGTATCTCCTATCGTGGCCAATCTTTACATGGAGAAGTTCGAACTTAAAGCTATCAATAGCTTTCCTGGTACACCTCCTGCCAACTGGTTTAGATACGTGGATGACACATGGTGTCGGCTCAAGAAGGGATTGGCGGACAGTTTTTTCGAACACATTAACAAGGTTGACAAACATATCAGCTTTACTCAGGAGACCAGTCAAGATAACACACTACCTTTCTTGGATGCCAAACTACATGTAGAGACAGACGGTCACATTGAGGTGGAGGTTTATCGTAAACCTACTCACACCGATCAATATCTCATCTTTGATTCTCACCATCCCTTGGAACAGAAACTTGGTGTGATAAGAACCTTGTTTCATCGAGCAGACACCTTGATTACTTCGGCTGAAGCCAGAGTCAAGGAACATACTCACCTCAAGAAAGCTCTATCCAAGTGTGGATATCAACAATGGACTTTTCACAAAGCACTTAAGCCTTCCGACTCATCTAAGAAGACGTCAAGAAACTCACAGTTAGACAGGACTAAAACAGTCAACATTTCTATCCCATACATCCAAGGAGTTTCGGAGAAGATAAGACGTATCTTACACAACTACAACATCGCCACCAACTTCAAACCATGTCGCACT